ATTACTTAAATATCGCTTTAATATTTAAAGTAAATTAACCGTTTTCATTTTCTCCCTGTAGGTCCATATAGTTGGTTAAAGTTACGTTAGCTTCTTTTTCAAATTTTCTATTATATATTTCCATTCCCTACTTCTCCAGCCATGGGTACCTTCCCCACCATTGCTCCCAGTAACCCTGGAGTTGTGAAATGAAATTTTCAAATTTTTAAATACATACGCGGAGAGGAATTAAACTGAATATGAAATTGACGAAATTGAGTTGGTAGGACACCTTTTGAGACATCAGAAATAGAAACAGGAGTTGATTTGGACAAAAAATAGTTAATACAGAAATACTATTCAGATTCTAAAATACTTATTGCTTATTTCAAAAAATATTTGGGATCACTATTTTAGGAGCAGCCAAAATTTTTAATGAATATCAACTTCATCATAAGATTATCAGTTCTAAGACTGGTTGGACACACACCTCCACTCTTTCCTATCCTGAAATAATCTTCGCATTTCCCTAAAACTAGAGCAACCCATATCCTTAACTATTTGCGAACAGTAATCTAATCTAGGTCTACCTCTATCCCTCCTAACTTCCGTTCTACCTCTAATATGTCTCTGACACCTTCATGTCTGAGGAGGTGTCCTACTAATCGATCTCGCCTATTTTTTATTAACTTCCATAGATCCTCTGTTCTCTTACTCTTTCTAATACCTCTTCATTTGTAACTTTCTCTATCTACGATATATCCTCATCATTCGCCTGTAACACCACCTTTTAAACGCTTCTAACCTTTTGTTTTCCGCAACGCCCACTGTCCATGTTTCGCACCCATACAGTGCCGCGCTCCAAACATACATCTTTAACATCCTTTTTCGAATTTCTAAATTAACCGTTCACGGGCCTAGAAGTGACTTATTTTTATTGAAGACGACTCGACCCTGCGCTATCCTCTGCTTTATATCCCTATTACTTCGTCCATGCTGACTTATCTGACTTCCTAATCGGCCACTTCTTCTAATTTTTCATCTCCTATCTTTACAATCACTCTTTGCCTACTTTTCCTTCCCTTGCATACTAGTATTTTAAATTTGCAATATCAACTAAAATACCTAATAAATTTATTTCTGCTTGGACATTATCTTTATAAATTAAAAGTTATTTTTCTGGCATGATATGTTTACAATAATCAAAGAAGAATCGGACAGTGGACTAAGGAGCCACTATTAAAATTGTTTCTTAAAAAAATCTGCACTCTGTTAAATGCGATATTAATAAAATCCGTTATACGATTTTTTAATCTTAAGTACTTTGGACAGGAAAATTAAAATATTTTTTACTCAAAATCGTAAATTAAAATACATACAGTCACTTACTAAAAATGATAAGCGGGTTTTAGAAACAACCTGTTCATAAAAAAATATTTGTTACAAAATCTATCGATAATAATGAGTACTTATGTAGAAATGAATCAAAACGGATATTGCTCGCTTATTTAAAAACATTTTTAAACTCAAATTAATTTGGTTTTATCTGAATCTTGTTTTATTTCATAACATCGGAATCACATGCGCATGATTTATTTACTTTTATATTTTACCTAGTTGTAAGCAAAGGTTTCCTCAAGACTTCCCGCAATTAATTTTTTTAGAAAGTGAAATGCATGTATGCTGTCTTAAACAGGTAATACTGCGGCAGGTGATTCATCAACTCTCAATATGTTTTACCAATTTTTTTTATAATTAAAAAAAATTCCCAATTTTAATTACAAGAAATCCTAAAGTCTATTCAAAAACTAATTTTACTTTAATCATATGGCACGTATGCGATTAATTATACCTACATAGAGAGAAAGTAATAAACAAAAGCATTTGACAGTTGACTAAATTTACAATAGTTAATTAATTAAACAATTATCAAAACCGTCACATTTCTATAACCTTGTTCATCTTCTAAACGTTTACGAATCAATTTTCATTCGGTGATTAAATATTAAAACGATTCATAGTGTAAGACAAAATTAACGATCAAGTTTAATTTGCCATTGTTACTCATATGTAATAGACTGTTTATTGTCTACCGTATTAGAAGACAATCGAAATATTTCTTTGTAAGCTATTATTTCTTACGTTTCATTATCAATTTGTTATAATAAAATTGGTACATTATTTTTGAACAAGAGTGTACAATACAGTGGCCTACTTTTCTCGACTAATTTTCGTTTTCTATTCTGTATGAAAATTTGTCTCTTGCTAAGGAATAATTAGCATAATTATGATAAGCAAACGTAGTATTATTACGTAAACCAAAGCTGCAGGCAACTGACAATTTAATTAGTTTACGATCAATGCAACTAATGAATAATATTATGAACGTAACACTTAAAAATTTACATGATTAAACATTACATTTCAAGATCTTAAATTTCGCTCTTCAGATATATATAAACATGTGCATACAATAATGAAGTCGGCGTCGTGTAGAAAGTGTCCTGATTCCAAAATTTAACCCAAAAAAATTGCCTGCACACAATGATAGGCACCGTAACGTATGAAAATCAATTAAATACTCCAAGTGAATACAAAATTTATAGTCAGTAGAAATAGCAAATCAACAGAATCAAAAACAGACACATAAACAACAATTAAATGCTAATTAAGTGTCTTAATGAAAAACTAAATGCTGCTACCATTTTTTTCAAAAATTACCGAAAACTTGTTTAAAAAATAAAAATTACTTTTTCGATCTCGCAGAAAGTAATTAAATGCGGAATGGGCCAATTATGAATTAAATGCACTTACTATTTTTCCAGTGATACTTCGCGAGTGGACAATGTATTGGCTTAAGATTGAATGGGCGGAACAAGGGTGAAAATTGTTTAAACAATGAAAACTGTTTCTTGGCAATTAAATGCCTTCCAAACGGATCACTTATAAATTAAATGCACTTATTATTTTCTAGTAGATACAAGACTTCGCGATGTGAACAATTTGTTGGCATAAAAAGGAACCAAAAACAGGTTTAAAAAGTAAAAATCAGTATTTCAATCATATTCAGATTAAAGATTAATTAAATGCCTTAATGAGGAATTAGATGATTCGAGCATTTTTTTCCCAAAAATTATTACCTGGTGGCTTAGGATTAAATAAACAGAACATGTGTGAAGAAATTGTTTAAACAATAACACTTAATTTGTTGATCACGCAGAAAGTAATTAAATGCATTTGTAACAACTGGTTGTGAACTAAACGCACTTACTATTTTTCCAGTAATACTTCGCGAATGCACAATGTATTGGCTTAAGATTAAATGGGCAGAACAAGGGCGATAATTTATTTAAACAATGAAAACTGTTTTTTTGTCACACGGCAATTAAATGCCTTCCAAACGGATCACTTATAAATTAAATGCACTTATTATTTTCCAGTAGTTAAAGACTTCCCGATTTGGACAATATGTTGGCAGAAAAAGGAACCAAAAATAGGTTTAAAAAGGAAAAATCAGTATTTCAATCATATTCAGATTAAAGGTTAATTAAATGCCTTAATGAGGAATTAAATGCTTAAAGCATTTTTCTTCCAAAAATTATTTCCTGGTAACTGTGCAAGAAATTGTTTAAACAATGAAAATTGCTTTTTTGAACATGCAGTAATTAAATTGCTTTCTACACGAATGAGTTATGTTAATTAAATGCGTTTATTATTTTTCCAGTAAATGAAATAGTTCGCGACATGGACAATTTGTTGGCATAAAACGGAGTTAAAGATTTAAAAAGAGAAATCCGTCTTTTCAATTCCGTACTAATTAAATGCCTTAATGAAAAATTAAATGCTTCGGGCATTTTGCCAAAAATGATTGTTCTATTAGCTTAAAATTAAGCGGTTCAAACATTTTGAAGACAGACGTGCAAACAAAATAAAAATTTTAAGTGTTTGTGTTTAGATGCAATAACGTAATAATAATCAATTTGATGTCACAATAAACTGAATGTTATTGTGATTTTCCATAAAATATTTTTTTATTTTATGCAATTTATTACATGATTAATGCAATACACAATCAAGCAACTGGTAAATTTTTTTATGCACTTATCTTTCTAATTATTCTGTTTGCAGAAATTAAAAAATTATAAACACCACAATAGTTTCCCTCTCACAACTGAGAGTTATAGTTTCCCTTGTGAATAAAAAACATTTATTATTGTAATTTAATCCGCCTATTTACGCAACATGCATAATAATAACGCATTTAATTATTATAAAAACTATTCTCGATATGTCGTTAAATCAATTTAGTTTTGAAACACTAATAATAATAAAAAAAAGAACATTCTCACAATATGCAGAACCCAGCGGTACAAAATCGATAAAATTAAATAACTACAACGCTTTTGTCTTAAGTAATTCAAACAAATTTATAGTGATGACCAAAACTATTAACTGGTGAATATTTTCAAAGGCCAATTATTATTATTATTATTATAGACGTTGCAATCTTCAATGAGTTTAAAGAACCATCATGGGTACATAACAGACAACTTATTATTAAAATCACAGTAGGTAGCAGAAACAGTTATTTTTTGTATCGAACTTGAATCGTCTACAAACTACAAACTGACAGTTAAGTGCCTCTCGGAA